TATCTTTAATATGAAATATTGATGACAGGTTAACATGGTCATTTTTACCAGAGATGGTTTTATATGTCTTTGATGTTACATTTTTGACCCGAAATTTTGTGTATATGCATTATGATTAGTTTTCAGTATGCACAGCCCATGGCGTTGTTTTAATTTGTGAAAAAAAATTAAATTTGATTATATTTATTCCCACACTTAACATCAAAATTACATATTAGACAGGTTTTTTGACAGTCTATTGGCATTACACTTTATTGCATGTTTTGCAACATTTAGTTATATGATATGCATAATTGGGGGTTGGGTTTTAAGTTGACAGATACTTGGTAGTCGTCCCACCCAGAATAATTCCTGATATTTATTGCATTCAGAATAACTATTATTGCATATACATGTGTTATAAAATAATATGGCATTTCTGTTAGAGTCTGAATGTTAAAAAAAATGTATCATTTTATAAAGCTTTCAACAATTGAGGGACTGATGTTTTCATTTAATAATAACATCATAAGTTTTTATTTTCTATTAAAGCATTGAAAGCATTTAATATCTCTTGTGGAATACAGAAATAAAAAGGGTGTATAAAGTCTTCATAGGTGGATAATAGGTATACATGGCATATGTCAAGCTTTATATCTCCCAAGTCATGACAAGTTCTGAATGATTGAACAGAAACTACAAAATGTTTTTTTTATAAACATCTATTTCTGAAATAAGATAACACACCAGGAAACAAATGACAGGGTTTGCGTTCTCTGCCAGATCAAAGGTCAAATAAAAATGAGAGTGAACCCAGCATAATAAATTTTTCTTTAACAGTCGAACGAAAGGAATTTACACTCTTGATAAAAAAAATACTCTTTTTTCTATCAGTTTATGTAAATAAAGCCCTGAGCATACTTTTCATTTAATATTTTTCTTAATTTTGTATAACCTTGTTGCATTTGTTGCTACATACATATACATAGAAATCATTTGTTTAATGAATAAAGAAGCCTTTAATAGAGAGGACCTTGATATTTGTGATTAATATTTTCATGGGTATTGTATATCCCCAAACATGACAAGTGGCCAGGATTTGTTACATTCCAGTGTTTATGGTAAGACTTCAGATATATAATCTGTATTTAACGATTGCATATTATCTATTTAGAATGATGAAAAAACAACATAAACTCACGTATATAACCAGTGATAACAAACAGTTGGTTTTAACAGACATTCTCTTATTACATTATCATGCAACATGAACATTTCATACCCATCATCTGCGTTTATCAAACACGGGTTTTTTTTATATTTTTTCTTTTTTTCCTTGAAGTATAAACCAACTTTTCAGGGAATTATTTTGTCAGTTAAAGAATGTAAGATATTCACATAAATCATAAATATCAATTGTCAAACAATAGACTCTTTAAAGCATCGTCAGCTGTTGTATACATTTTGTGTGGTTTATCTTTTTGTAAAATCCGATATTTCTTCCTTAAATCGTTTTGGGAAGATATTTTCGTTGTGGTTACACAATTAGTGGATTCATTGTTTGTTCGATACAACAAAAAGGTATATGAACAAGAGGTAACTATTTAAATCTTAAAGCTGTGTGTTTTCCAAAAAAGAAATTTTAAATTCCTCTTATTGTATCGGTTTTTACAGGTTTGTTATAATATGGGAGATTCGAATATAAACTGTAAGTGCATTTAAAGTACAGTATTGAGAAGAACATTTGTATGTTTTATTATTATTTGATTATTATGTTTTATTATTATTATTATTTTTAATAATGGTATTATCATTATTATTATTATTATTATAATTATTATTATTATTATTAGAAGTAGTAGTAGTAGTATATTCTTGTTGGTTAATTTTTTTATTGATTTTTCCACAAATAAGTCAAAATTGAAGAGCCGAATATCAACAGTAACATCAGTTACATGATTTCTGATAAAGCTTGTTTGGTTAATTTTAGTATTACCAATGGTTTCATGTTCGTTCATTTGTTTACTTTGTTGATTTTGTTTTTCCAAGGTTGTAAATCAAAATAAAACAGTTGAAAATAAAACAAAATAGTGCAGTTTAGTAACATTATTTATGCCAAGTTTGCATGTTTAAATTTTTTATTATTATTATTTCGACAGGTGTCTTGCGCGTTTATTTTATTGTTTTTGTCGGTTTAAGCTATTTTTTGTTGTGGTTTCTAATTAGATTTTGACACTTGGTTCTTACGATTGCAAAAAAGTTAAGTTTGAAAAATAACGTGTTATTTGTTGTTAGTTTTTCTTTGATTAACGAGTTTAAATATCCCTTTTGTATCTTCCCCTCTTTTAATGGTAAAATATTGGAAAGATAAAAAATGACATTTCTAGCGCATTTATTACCCAAGGTGATCAACAAATAAAAACAACTTAAGAAATCACAGTCTTCTCTGTATCCGATCGAAACAATAACAAATAGTGTGGAATAATAAATTGACACATGTAATAGCAATAAATACTTTACGAAAATAATTATTCAAACCCTGCACGACAAGCTTTTTCTACATATATATAGTACAGTTTATCAAACATGTCAAACATCGCCTTTTTTATTTTCTTAGAGCTTAAGAATAAATTTTGCATTGAACGTTTGTTTCTCCATAATTTAATACGATCAATCAGAAACCAAACATGCCAATTTACAAGCAGAAGAGTCTATGAAGCATCTTTCGTTGTTTTATCTATCTTGTGTGATTATATTGTTATGACTAATCCGATATTTTCCCTAAAATCAATGTGTGTGCAGATATGTGTTTTTTTATGTTGATAAGTGATTGGTGTTTGTTTGTTTAAAACATGTGATATGATTTCCGTGAGCACAACCAACAGGTGGTCTGAAATTCCCATCATAAGGTATAAAGAATGTATACGCTTGAGACCAAAATTCTGAAATCCTCAGATACGCACCGTGGAAAAAACTCTGATGCTCCGGATGAGGAAGTATTTGCTGCTCAAGTGGTGGCCTACGTCCTGCTGTTCGATACTGTTTTTGTAGTTACAAATGTTAGATAAACTCATAAAAGAGCAATACTTGAAGTATTTAAACAAATTAACGTATATCAATATACTCTTGGACAAAAGAAACGCTGCATTTTGCAAGTTCGTAAACATCTTATCATATGTTAAAAAATAAAAACTGACTCTCACCACAAAATGTCCAAAGAAACAATCTGTTCAAAATTAGAATAAATGTCATAACCACTACCATGAGTGTGAGGTGGTGTGAATTAAGTTAAATATCGCAGCATGTATATTAACAAATCCAATACAGGATAAACTCAAATTATATTAATTGTTAAAAAACCAATTAGATAAATGAGGAGATTAGTAACGCGTAATTAACACATTTCAATCAGGGATTGTTGATAACTTAAGAATTATAAATGGCAAAATATGATTATTTTGTTTCTTTCTGATTGACAGCAAAGTCAATGTCTTTCTGGTTTCTTATGCAATGCCGAGGTGCTATATTTGAAGCAGGATCTGCTTAACCTTTTGGAACATATAAGATCAGCCCCGGTTGTTTGGGGAGTCCGTGTTGCTCAGTCTTTAGTGTTCTATGTTGTATTTTGTGTACTTGTTTGTCGCTTTTCGTTCTTTGCCATGCCATTCTCAGTTTGTTTACGACTTATAAGTTTGAATACTCGTTTGGTTTCTTTCGCCTCTCTAAATTTTACTCTAATTCAATACTAAACGCGCGAGAATAAAGATCTACAGCATTTTGGTCACCAAAATATTTTATTGACAAACAAAATAAATTGGAAAGCATTTGAAATTATGAATTTCGGTCCTTGTTTAAAACATAAATAAAGATTTGCAGAATGTAATTTTTGTGTATCTTCCAACGAAACGTCTTTATCTTGGAAATGGCATGCAATTATCTATAATCCTCGTTCATTTCCTTTTAAATCCAAAATATTTGTTTTGAATAGAAATTTAAAAAAAATATTAGGCTTTCCTTAAATGAAACACATCTTGCATCAGCTCTACATAAAGGTATGTTGTAAACTTCAAACCATGTTTTGACGCAGAGAAATCGATATTGACTTGCATTACATTGTTTTTTTTAAAACTCTAATGCGAACTTCCGTCTTTATTCCATAACATTGCGTACAGTGGATTTTGATTTTAAGAACGTATATATTAGGAAATAAAGATATGTTTCAGAGGACATCACCGTGTGAACATTTACCTAAATATGAAATAAAAAGGTACAAATCAAAAATAACTCTGATGAAAAATTTCCCCTTGAGCCAGAGGAAATCTAAATCTTCAGATACTGCAAATCAATGAAATTATTTTCGTATTTGTAAAAATTATCAATGTTCTATTATAGAATAACTGTCCGTTGTTGTTGTAACAAATCAAGATTTTATACGATAGTCCATCGCCAGGACGGGCGTTTCCTATATCATGATTTCGTTGATAGAGGGTTGCCGCTCACAATGAAGCTATTAAACCAACAGTTCAAAGTAGTAAAATTGAAATCATCACTTCGAAAATTTAACGGACGCCATCATGAGCTGGTTGACAGTTATGCAATATCTGTTTCACAGATGATGATGGATATATTCCACTTGTCGTAGCAACGATTCCGCCCTCCTTTTCCCAAAATATGATCTACGAATAAACTTATCACCGGGTTTGTAATTACATGGGTAACACAACGGGTGCCACATGTGGAGCAGGATCAGCTCACTCTTCCGGAGCACTTGAGATCACCCCCGGTTTAATGTGGGGTTCGTGTTGATTAGTCTTTAGTTTTTTATGTTGTGTTTTGTCTACCGTTGTTTGTCTTTTGGTCTTTTTCTCTTTTGCCATGGCGCATTATTTGCATTATTTTGTTCTCTTTTGAAATGTAAGCTATGTCGGATTTACAGGTAAACAACAAAGCGATAAATCATCAAATGAATTTTAAAGTTCCATTCATTTCAGTATGTATTGCTTCACGTTTTATAGGTGACTTCAACGACGAAGAAAATTCTTCTGACATCTATAGGTCATCCGATAACTTCGACAATTGTTCAGTCATAAAAGAACAAGTTACAACTATCCAGGGTTCAAACTCTAAAGTTAAATATGTAAATCGTCAGGGCACTAATGTACAAATTCAGACGAATGAAGACCTAGTCAGAGGAACCATAGATGTTCAAGTTGAAAACGTAATTGCAAGTCAGCAGGGCAGTAATGTTCAAATGCCATTTAAGTCAAGTGCAGTCAGAGAGAACACAGAGCCTGTGACTGCCAGAGATAGATTGAAGCAGCACAAGTGGCCCATACTTGCTTTTATATGCGGTGTAATCCTGACACTAGGGATAGTTGTCCCTCTGCTGGTATCAAAATCCTCGTCTTCGGAAAAGGGTATACTTTGTTACTTATATATATAACATTTCACACTTAAATTAAAATTTAAAAACATATATAGAAAACAAAAAATATCTAAATTTTTTATCTTTAATCTTAAATTATTAATCCGACCATGTTGTCTTTATGAATTTAATGTTGTTTTTTTCAAAACGATAAATTGGTCTAATTATGTTTTAAAAAAATACTATTCGTTTACTTCCTATAATATTTACTATGAACTTTCGTTTACGGTGAATTCGGTAGTTGATTCAAATAACTATATTCCGTGCAGTTAATGTTATTTGTTGGCTATTACAATTCGCAAGTATAGGTGAACCACGTCAAAAATTGAAAACAACACGATAACTTCATACGTCCGATATTTAAAAAAAAAAGCAAACTTTCCTATATATAAAATATAATTTTCATTGACAAACTTATACATTTATTGACAGAATAATCAGAAATGATGGCGGCCACCTAGCGGCAGACGAAGAAACATATTATGTTTTTTTTTCAATTATAATTGTCGAATATGTGTCGGAGGGGAAAAACAATAAATTAAAGGAAACTATCAACTTTTTAATACCTTTTTAAAATGCTCCATTGGTAAATTAAGAAATTAGTACGAAACCCTCTCTGAAAAGTTTAAATTTAAATCGATTTTGGTATTCCTTTTAGTTTCCTGCTGGTCATATTGCTTCACATAATTTTATAAATATACATATATATATATTTGGCGAGGTTTCGTGTTGCTCAGTATTGTGTTAATTGTGTTTTGTATACTGATGTTTGTCTTTTGGTCTTTTTCTTTTTTTGCCAAGGCGTTATCAGTTTATTTTCGACTTATGAGTTTGAATGTCCCTTTGGTATGTGTCGCCTCTGTCTTAAATAGTACCCTTTTAATTGTGCGTACCATAAATATACAATAATCAGTCTACAAAACAATTATAAATTTTCAATTGTGTGTCCATTATGTTTGTAGTGTACTACAATGAATGCTGTTTTACTTATTGACACAGAATGATGAATACTGACACTGAATGATGTGTATATGGACAGAAATGTATTCATAGTTTAATACTCGTTTCTTCAAATGTCAATAAAGATAACACATTTTTATTCCGTGTTTCCGTCGCGCTTTTGTGAATTTACCTTCATCAGTAACGCTCAAACCTACAAAAAAAAGTCAAGGGTGTATACAACCAAAATATATGTAGTGGGGACCTCATAATGCCAAAAAAATCTAAATTCAACTTTGCTTAAGGGAGTTGGAACTTCAATTTCTTAATAATCACTTAATTAATCAACAGCGAATTGATCAAAAGATTGCTTCAATCATATCAGTACCGAAGCACTGACTACTGACTGGAGCGGCCGTGGTTTCGACCAATTTATAGTAAATGAAAAAAAAAAAAAAAAAAACATTTTATCAATTTTGGTGTCAAGCTCCATCATCATTTTGTTTATATATTGTGTAAGTAAATAAATTGGAATTTTCCTGAATCCCGATGTTTCGTTTATCTAAATAGTCATTATTTATAGATTGAAATCATCCAATGGTTGTATGTATACGAAACTGTATTGACTAATGACGGATTATACGGATTCATTTTGCAAACAGTTTAACACTCATTGGTTACACCAATGTTAATCAAGTGCATAAATGTGATATCACACAGCGGTTAAGTGTTTTTGCCAATGGTTAACGTGTTTTTCGCAGAAACTGTTCTTGCTGAAGGATATCAAGAGAGATAATTTCCCTTTTCAATACTGTACCAACTGCAAACAAAGTAACGGAAATAAAGATCATCCTGTGCAGAGATGAAAACAAATGATCCCCACAATAATTTTAAAAATATTTAATAGACATTCGGGAAAGCATAACTAAACTAATGATAGACGAATATTGCGTATCCTAAATATATACGTAAAACGCGTTAAAACAAAGAGAGGAGAAAGATACCAAAATAAAACTCACACGTCGAAAATAAACTGACAACGCCATGCAAAAAAACAAAAGACCAAAGTACAACCAACAGTACACGAAACACAACATAGAAAACTAAAAACTGCGCATCATAGTCCATACCAAACAGGGGCTGATCTCATATGCTCCGGAAGGGTGAGAAAATCGTGCTCCACATGTGGCATCCGTCGTGTTGCTCATGTAAGTAAAAACCCGGTGATAAGTCTAATACGGTAGGTCACACTCGGGGAAAAGAGGACGGGATTGTAGTTACGACATTTGGCACATATCCGTCCTCGTCTGTAAGAAAAATATTCCATAACCGTCAATCAACTCGAGGTGGCATCCTCAAAATTTTCGAAGCGATGATTTCAACTTCACCATTTGTAACTCTTGGAAAGTTCACATTTGAATCATCTCCCTAGTCGTAAATATGTATTGTTTTTTTTTTATAAATTCGTAAGTATTGAATGTTCTTTTTTCAGACAGTCCTTACAGTTTTACTTTGAAATTCGATCGAAAATCAACATCTTCATTGGTATTCCTTTCGACAGACAATAGAGTATTAAGTAATGTTTATACCAGAGAGACACCGGATTCAGTGAACCACGTGGTCCAATATGGGGTGCTCATCTACACCGGCATACAAGGAGATAGATGTTTCAAATCAACAGACAAAATATATTTCGAGATTAAGTACACATTTGCTAATCTTTTTAACATTCCTTTCGACTCAGAAGAACTACTTGCATCAGTAGGTTTCGTCCATGAAAGGGAATCCTATGATTCCTTTAATGATGATATTTTAGATGATGACTCCATTGCTATATGGTATATATCTTTTCATATCTGCAAATTGTCCATTTGCATGTCATCTGAAAATTTTGAACTACACAGTGAGAAAAACGTTATCAAAACAATCAGTTACAATAATACACCAAGGACTGTTGTTACTGGTAGACTTGGCTTTTTTGTTAATATGGAACATAAAGATTTTTCCGTAATTGACAAAGAAACTATGCAAATATTGGACCAACTTATAGTATTTGGTTCCCCCGAGATCGTTTGTCCAATATTTGAAGTGGACAATGAAAGCAAAGCTGAAGTACAAATTGAAATATCGTATTCATACGATTTTCAGAATCTTCCTGTGTATAATGTAATTGCTTGATTTGTAATCTATGATTTTTTTTTTAGTTTTGTCGCGTTCTATGTACATTCTTTATTATAACTCAGAAAAAAATGTCACCTTTCAATATGTTCGGTAAAAGGAAAACAATATATCTTCAATTGAAAGCGAACGAAAGAAATCCATGAATAGTATTACCAAAAAAAAAATGTTTCTTTTCAAAAGGGATAAAGATATCATAACATGGACAAAAATTCTACTAAAATGTATATCACATGAACGGTTGTATTATGTAAATATGATTCTAACTGCAGAAATCCAATAAAAATTTCACACCCTGATTTTAATTCATAAAGCCATAAAGCCACCAAGATTACATGTGTCTGTATAATTTTCTGTCGAGTTTAGGATAGTTTGAAACTAAATTGTGTAGATCAAATTTTTTTTTCTGCATTCATCTTTTTTTGTTTTACAAAGGATAAGGTTCACTCTTGCCTATATAAAGTCTTGAATTTTGACTTCCTCATTTTATATATAAAAAAGGACATAACTTGGTTCTTAAATGGACCGTTGGTCCGAAAATGGACCTTTTTTAAAGGCCTTATTAATGCTAGGTAAAAAATATCTTATCAAGAGTACATCATAAGCTGCAAAGTCAGCACATTTTGGATATGATTTTATGCATTTTAAGACTTAAAAGCTTTAAAAAAAATGGCCACAACATACGATCCAAAATGTTATGTAGCCAAAAAGAACCAATGAATATATTGATTCCCTAGACACAAAAAATTCTGGATCAGGGGCTTCACCAAGTAAATTATGTCAAAAAACTGTTATAATTTCGAAAAAATTCGACTAAAAACAAAAATGTTTTTTTTTATTAATAATTATATCAAAACTATTGCAATGTGAAATTTGCAGTAATTTGGCTTATTCAAAAAACGTTAAAATCTAAGGGTCATTTAAAGCCCTTCGTGAATATACTCCATTACCTCCGGCATTGTTCATTTATAGTACCTTCTTGCACTGTTAATGATGTTTTGCTAAAAACAATTTTCTGAGCTGTTATCATATAGTCGCAATTGCAGTATGTTATCATATCACCATCTTCAATACTTTTAAGCTGACTATCAATGTGATCAGTTTTTGAAATGATATTAGCTATTGTTTTAAATGTATCTGTGCTTTTGTAAGCTTTTATAAATGTTGTAGGGTAAAAGCTCTACCTGATTGATATAGTAAGTTTTTCTATGTACCTTGTTTATTCATTAAGTCAAAGGGAAGACTGAGTGCTAAGAATAAGCTGAACCTATCAGTACGCATATGTTTCTGTCCCCAAATCAAAAACCTAGTAATTGGTTGTCTTTATTCTAAAAAAGAATTGATTCAAATTTACATCACCTGCTTAATCTTCCGTTTGGGTTACAGTCAATTGCAGTTTATGAGATTAAATAGGCGAATATCTTACCTTTTTTCTCGTAAAACTGTATACGGTGAATGAAAATAGTCCGACGCGATTTTCTGTATTTACCTTAATCAGGAACGCTAAAACCAAAATACTTGAAAGCCAGGAATGTACTTCACTACGTGTTTTATAAATCATATCACTACTGAAGCGCTAACTACCTAGCAAAAAGCGGGAAACACTATAAACTTATAAATTTGTCCAAAGTTATGTAGTTGTATTTCAATACAACAACAAAAATATGTGCACACGAGGTTGATATGATATGAGGTAGGTGTTACCTGTGAAAGAGGATGAAGTGTGTCAGCTAGCTGCGTAAATAAATATTCGTTTTTTTATACTAAAGTATTAAGATAGTGTTGATTCTTATTAACAAGGAAACCATTTTTACCTTTGTGTAAAGCCATTTACTAAATTAGGTACAATTATCATGGAAATACCAAACGTCAGTATCTTCAAGATGAGATGGAAGCCTAAACAATAAAACAATCTGGTTCATCGATTTTCCTGCATAATGTCTTCTGGAAAGTAAGCAGAAATACAGAATAGTCCCTGGCGTTGGTCATATTGTAAGACATTTAAAATTTCTGACGTCTCTATTTATGTAAACACATAAATGCGTGTTTCACTGGGTTTTTTTTTTTTGCATGCTACGTTTTTATTTTATAAAGTATTATCTAAATTAAATTCTGATTATTTCTAAATGAAATCGGAAAAGATGGACACATCGGCGTGTATTAAAGTCTTTATTTGCAAAAATATCCCTTATTTGTCAGGTTCTTTTTCACAGATATATTGTCAACTATGCAGAATAGGGTTTTAAAGCCTCATTATTTGAACAAACTAATGAAATTTAAAACTTTTTAAATAAATCATCCGTACACTGTAAACCTTCAAGCTCAGACTAAAGCAACCCCGAAAAGTCTGCACATACCAGCGATGCGAGATGCATACATCTCTGAAGTATGGACAGAAATAGAATAGAAAAAAATCCATCCTGGGAATGGGGTAGGAAAACCTTGAGATCAGGACTGGTAAGAACTGAAAGTTAATAACCTTGCCCAAAACAAATATTTTACCAAACGGAATGCAGAATATAAGTGTGCTCAAAAGTAAAAATCCCCCCCCCCCCCCGATATTATCAAATGGTCGTCCTATAAATATAACACAATATTCCTTTCAAAATCAAATGTCTGTACAGGATCGAATACTTTTAAAGGGAAGTGGTACGAATTCTATTTTTACAAACTTTGTCATATTAATATACGGAGAAAAAAGAAAAACCGGAACGGATTCCTGCGCAAATTCGAAAGTCCAAAGTTTAAATGAAAGATTCTGGATTCACTGGTATATTAACTTATATTGCTTGACCTCTTCTTTGGTTTTCTTACTGATATTGAGGACTACGTCTTAATAAAATATAGTATCTTAAAATGTATTTTCCAGAACAAACTCTTTTTCTCCTTTTGCATGGGAAAAAGAATGTTTATTCCATAAACTAATATCATTTGTCGCAGTAACGAATGTTTATTTAATTTCTGTTAGTGTTTTTAGTGATTCATTCGTGCATTTATTTCCTATGGTGTTCGAAAAAAAGAACAAATAAGAAATTCCATTCCCCGCTGCATTCCATTCAGAACAATGACAAATAATGTAGAATCAAGAAAGGTATACAAAAATGATTTAACATAAATTATAAAAGAGGGACGAAAGATACCAGAGGGTCAAACTCATAGATCGAAAACTAACTGACAACGCCATGGCCAAAAATAAAAAGACAAACAGACAAATAATAGTACAGATGACACAACATAGAAAACTAAAAACTTAGCAACACGAACCCCACCAAATACTGGGGGTGATCTCAGGTCCTCCGGAAGGGTAAGCAGATCCTGCTCCACATATTTGTCGTAAAGTTTTGTTTTTAACCGACCCTCATTGTCAATTTCTAGATGTAAGTCAAGATATGAGGCAGACTTAACTGTATCTGTAGTATCCTTTATCTCTAGTTCGATGGGATAGATTCGTACAACATAGTAACTAAATTTTGTACTTTTTACTGAGAGAACACCACCTATATACCGGAACGTAAAGTTACAGGATATTGCTAACGTCTTATCTTTCTTCCTAAGAAGTTCCTATATGAAGTCAGCCTCATAATAATAAAGAAACAAGTCGGCAAGAAGGAGAAAAGATAACGTATAACAATATCATATGTCACGAAAACAAATATTCAGTCTCTTTAAGACGAACTTTTTCTATATTGATATAGTTATCAAACAGGAAGGTTCAGCCGTTTTTTCCTGAAGACTAAAAACAAGTATTTTCATGGAACGTATTTGTATTTGCTGATAAATAAAAACAATAAGCTAAAACCATGAATGTCAATCTACAACTAGACTTTTAGCAGCGTCTTCGGCTGTTTTATACATCTTACGTGATAATCTTATTGTCAAATCCGATATTTCTTTCTTAAATTTTTTGGGGGCAGATATTTTCGTTTTGTTCATACAACGATGCATTCATTTTTTCTTCAAATAGAATGTTAACTATGTCATTGTATGTGCATATGGAGTTCCTATAACGCATGTTGTCTAGAGTTTTCGCATGTGTTTACTTACCGATTATCTTACAGGCTGACTTAAAGTTTGAAGGACATTTATGTAAAGTTTGTGAATCTTACGCCAGGTTCACACACATCTATTACTACTAGAAAAATATGTTTAATCCTTATAAAAATCCACCTAAACGTTTTTTATGTTTTTCGTTCAATTTCAACTTTCTATTTCATTCAAGTGTATCGTACATGGATATATCAAAATGAAATCGATGTAGTAATCTAAAAAGGTTACGAACGCAGTTTCGGCAACATGGGCAATGGATGTATGAACCAAGGGAGGCAATATTTTCTAAAGGACCAATCACATTCAAGTAATTGTCTATATGAAATTCATATAATAATTAACATAATATACATAGAACCATAAGTCGACATTTGTGTAGAGTAAGAAAGGACAAAAAGTTGTTGCAATCTCGTTTAGGACAATCTATGCATAGGGATAGAAATAAACTCATTATTCCATTCATATTCCAGGATTAAAAAATTTATGGTTGACAATTTTGGATATTCATCGCTTCTAAGGGGCCACAATTGTTTTATTATACCAAACTAATAGTGGAAGGGACTTTTGAAACATTGAAAAAGCACTTACTTACCTTATTCACTGTTATTGTAATAACAAATACAAGTTAACGTTCGAAATAAATTTGTGTATTAAAATTTCTCATATGCAAAACAAAGGTAGGATCTTTTTGTAAAATATTGATGGCCCTGTAAAGGACCGTTTATAGGGGATATCCTCGGCACTAGATACATTTCCAAGCCTTGTTTCATCGTCCCTCGATGGGTTTTCTGTAATGTGAACGTTGCACTTTTGTTTACTTACGTCTGTGACGTCATTTTCATGGGAGATAACTCGATTACAAATCAAGAAGCTCAAAAGGTTATTCAACAGTGAATAATACACCACTGGGTGTGAAATTTTAGGGTTATTCGTCCTTTTTTGGCATTTAAATGAAAATTAACTGAATTATCCCATGTCACGTGATAACGTTTTACCCAATAGAATTGTTTATAAAATATGTAAGGTATAATAATATTCATGTTTTTTAATGACAGCGTTCGCATGTTTGAATAGTTACTATTATTATTATTATTATTATTAATATGAGGCAGGCGTTACCTGTGAAAAGGGACGAAGTCTGTATACATTATCTTTTAAATTATTCAAGCATATTTTAACTTCAGAATTTGTTATTAAGAAACGGAAATACGGAATTGTTTCCGATGTTGGTCCTGTTGTTAGGGATTTTAGT